CACATACATGTCATATTTTGTTGAGATTTGGTTCTGTGTGATTTGTGGAACAAACATTCCCATGCTTTTGGCATGACATATGTAGAAGGTTAATTGTATATATATTAGTGCCACTGTTTATTTCATTCACCTGAATGACTGTGTGTACTGATGGATCTGGCAGTTTCCACTAAATTACTTATTATGATGGTGACGTATTAATAAAATGCTGAGGAGTTTTAGAGGGGAAATAGCACGAGTCTGCAGCAATGCTTAGTTATAGTTTCATATCCAAAATATCCATGGTACTAAAGCAAAGGTAATATTTTGGTGTTGCAATTTAGAAAGGAATGCAGATATCAAAATTTATATGTGAAAAGTAATTGATGAACATGTTCTTGCAGACTGTGGTGGCCCGGGGCCTTCTTAACAGGATCCAGGAAAGTGCAGGATATCTTCCTGTCTTCATCAACTTCTCTGCTCAGACCTCCTCTGCCCGTACACAGGAGATCATTGAGTCCAAACTGGAGAAAAAGAGAAAGAACATTTTAGGTAAAAGAGCAAGTTTGGCAATGACAACATAAAAGCAAACCCAAGAACCATACATGTTGTGTAAGACTGTCATATGCATTTGTTACAAATTGTTTGCACCATCTGGACAGCAATGTAGCTGAAAGGAAATCCTTTGAGAAACTCCAACTGATGAAGTTTTTCAGACAAAAGCTACCATCTTATTGTTTGAATTATAGGTCCATGGTTGTCAATGACATGTCTTCAGGGTCTAACTTACAGATAACACATTAAGAGGCCTTTCTTCAGCACATTCCCAAATCGTTCTGGAGCTGCTTAACACAACCATAGAGTCGCTTCCTTTCCATTAGTTTAACAGTTGCTTCCACTATTCATCTACACATCTACTGCCTGGCCATTCATCCAATAGTGCTTACACATTTACTTTTTTCTTCTTGAATATTTATTATTTTTCTCTCCATGTAGGTCCTCCAGGAAACAAGAAGTTGGTGGTCTTTGTGGATGACTTGAATATGCCTAAGCTGGACAGTTATGGATCTCAGCCTCCTATAGAACTCCTGCGTCAGTTCCAGGACTTTTCTGGGTTTTATGACAGAAACAAGTTCTTCTGGAAGGAGATCCAGGTATGCAAATAAGATGAGCTATACTGTAATGAGACATTAAAATATAAATGTGCGTGTGCATATGTGAGACTATGGTTGCAGTTGAGGTTATCTATTTTAGACTTTTCCAAACAGTTTAAAAACAAAACCACAAGAGGGAGCATTTTCAAATTTTCAGATTTTAGAAAGATTATGGGGCATGTTTCCTATAAGTACAAGCACGTATCTAAAACAAGGGTAGGACAGTTCCACTAGCACAGCTGTTCTAGACTAGCTATAAGTTAATTGCTCATAAGTCTTAACCTTTTGTTTTTAGTGTCTGTACATTCTACGTTCCCATAAATATTGCCTACAAGTAAAGACAAAATCATTCTAGTCTGAACTACTGTGGATGTTTTCCCCGTGTTCAGTTTTTGAGCACAGTTAAAAACCTCATTTGTTCTGTTTGGTGTTTTTAATGAATACTAAATCCTTTTATGTAGGAAACCCAGTCATCTTGTGGGCTATTTGTTAGCTTTTTTACTCGCCATTTATAGAATCAGAATCAGAATCAGAATGTCTTTAGATTAGATTAGATTAGATTAGATTAGATGAAACTTTATTAATCCCTCGGGTGGGTTCCTCCGGGAAATTCAGTTTCCAGTAGCAAAGCACCGAAAGAAGTTGCATGTTACAGATACATTAAGGGGAATGAGAGTAAGGATATAAGCATAAATACACCATATATACACATATACACATATATAGATACAGAATATACAATATGGATAAATAGGATTGCTCATTTGAGTGAGTATTTATTGTCATCGTCGCAGGTACAACGAAATTAAAAGTGGTCTCTGATCAGTGCATCATCCATAGAATGTTTACTACCTTAACTTGTGCTATACAAACACACATATACACACAGGCACAACTGATTTTAGAACATTTCTGTACTGTCCTTAAATGCCCCAAACAAGGAACCCCTCTTCTTAAATGGAACATTTTATTGTCAATGGTGACATGTCAGGAAAAAGTAACATACTAGCGTTTTATCAGCTGTTTAGTAGTCCCTTTATTCTGTCTTTTTCTTCTCAGGGAATGACCATTACAGCAGCATGTGCTCCTCCAGGAGGGGGGCGAAATCCTGTGTCCCCCAGATTTATTCGCCACTTCAGCATGTTGTGCCTGCCAACACCCTCGGACACCAGCCTCAAACAGATCTTCAAAGTCAGGAGTCCTCCAAAATACTGACACACACACACACACACACACACACACACACA